TTTTGTTCTGGAGACTTGGATCACCTGGGGCTTTATTACGTACATAAATAACAAGAGAACACTCGGCGACTGAGATCAAGTGAAAGATCGGAAAGTGGAGTATCGGGAGCACAGTAGAAAAATTACGGGCCCACATTATGCTTTAAGTTTCCATTGTATTCAGATGATGTTGGTGATGGGTGTGGCCAAAGTAAACGTATCATTATTCTGTTTGTGTTGATTGTTAAAGAATCCAGATATCTATATTTATTTTCTTTTTTTCGTAATATCAGTGTTAGTCTTTCCCCACGCCATGAGGTTGGTGTGGAAATTGCGGCGTTGTACGTAAGCATTACTGGTTCTCTCAATTCTGTATTCATACTTGCGTTCTTATAGGCATGTTGGAAGACTTCTGGCAGTTTCTCCAATGTAGATCTTGATGCATCCCCAACAAAATATTCTATGTTGTAATGTTTTCTATATTTTTTTATAAAATGCCTCCTTCCATCGTGGAAGAACTGTTAACACTGGTACACAAGGGACAGTCAGGGTTCAACTGTTAACATTGGTACACAAGGGACAGTCAGGGTTCAACTGTTAACACTGGTACTCAAGGGACAGTCAGGGTTCAACTGTTAACACTGGTACACAAGGGACAGTCAGGGTTCAACTGTTAACATTGGTACACAAGGGACAGTCAGGGTTCAACTGTTAACACTGGTACTCAAGGGACAGTCAGGGTTCAACTGTTAACACTGGTACACAAGGGACAGTCAGGGTTCAACTGTTAACACTGGTACTCAAGGGACAGTCAGGGTTCAACTGTTAACACTGGTACACAAGGGACAGTCAGGGTTCAACTGTTAACACTGGTACACAAGGGACAGTCAGGGTTCAACTGTTAACACTGGTACACAAGTGACAGTCAGGGTTCAACTGTTAACACTGGTACACAAGGGACAGTCAGGGTTCAACTGTTAACACTGGTACACAAGTGACAGTCAGGGTTCAACTGTTAACACTGGTACACAAGGGACAGTCAGGGTTCAACTGTTAACACTGGTACACAAGGGACAGTCAGGGTTCAACTGTTAACACTGGTACACAAGGGACAGTCAGGGTTCAACTGTTAACACTGGTACACAAGGGACAGTCAGGGTTCAACTGTTAACACTGGTACACAAGTGACAGTCAGGGTTCAACTGTTAAACACTGGTACACAAGGGACAGTCAGGGTTCAACTGTTAACACTGGTACACAAGTGACAGTCAGGGTTCAACTGTTAACACTGGTACACAAGGGACAGTCAGGGTTCAACTGTTAACACTGGTACACAAGGGACAGTCAGGGTTCAACTGTTAACACTGGTACACAAGTGACAGTCAGGGTTCAACTGTTAACACTGGTACACAAGGGACAGTCAGGGTTCAACTGTTAACACTGGTACACAAGGGACAGTCAGGGTTCAACTGTTAACACTGGTACACAAGTGACAGTCAGGGTTCAACTGTTAACACTGGTACACAAGTGACAGTCAGGGTTCAACTGTTAACACTGGTACACAAGGGACAGTCAGGGTTCAACTGTTAACACTGGTACACAAGTGACAGTCAGGGTTCAACTGTTAACACTGGTACACAAGTGACAGTCAGGGTTCAACTGTTAACACTGGTACACAAGGGACAGTCAGGGTTCAACTGTTAACACTGGTACACAAGGGACAGTCAGGGTTCAACTGTTAACACTGGTACACAAGTGACAGTCAGGGTTCAACTGTTAACACTGGTACACAAGGGACAGTCAGGGTTCAACTGTTAACACTGGTACACAAGGGACAGTCAGGGTTCAACTGTTAACACTGGTACACAAGTGACAGTCAGGGTTCAACTGTTAACACTGGTACACAAGTGACAGTCAGGGTTCAACTGTTAACACTGGTACACAAGGGACAGTCAGGGTTCAACTGTTAACACTGGTACACAAGGGACAGTCAGGGTTCAACTGTTAACACTGGTACACAAGGGACAGTCAGGGTTCAACTGTTAACACTGGTACACAAGGGACAGTCAGGGTTCAACTGTTAACACTGGTACACAAGGGACAGTCAGGGTTCAACTGTTAACACTGGTACACAAGGGACAGTCAGGGTTCAACTGTTAACACTGGTACACAAGTGACAGTCAGGGTTCAACTGTTAACACTGGTACACAAGGGACAGTCAGGGTTCAACTGTTAACACTGGTACACAAGGGACAGTCAGGGTTCAACTGTTAACACTGGTACACAAGGGACAGTCAGGGTTCAACTGTTAACACTGGTACACAAGGGACAGTCAGGGTTCAACTGTTAACACTGGTACACAAGTGACAGTCAGGGTTCAACTGTTAACACTGGTACACAAGTGACAGTCAGGGTTCAACTGTTAACACTGGTACACAAGGGACAGTCAGGGTTCAACTGTTAACACTGGTACACAAGGGACAGTCAGGGTTCAACTGTTAACACTGGTACACAAGGACAGTCAGGGTTCAACTGTTAACACTGGTACACAAGGGACAGTCAGGGTTCAACTGTTAACACTGGTACACAAGGGACAGTCAGGGTTCAACTGTTAACACTGGTACACAAGGGACAGTCAGGGTTCAACTGTTAACACTGGTACACAAGGGACAGTCAGGGTTCAACTGTTAACACTGGTACACAAGGGACAGTCAGGGTTCAACTGTTAACACTGGTACACAAGGGACAGTCAGGGTTCAACTGTTAACACTGGTACACAAGGGACAGTCAGGGTTCAACTGTTAACACTGGTACACAAGGGACAGTCAGGGTTCAACTTTTAACACTGGTACACAAGGGACAGTCAGGGTTCAACTGTTAACACTGGTACACAAGGGACAGTCAGGGTTCAACTGTTAACACTGGTACACAAGGGACAGTCAGGGTTCAAACTGTTAACACTGGTACACAAGGGACAGTCAGGGTTCAACTGTTAACACTGGTACACAAGGGACAGTCAGGGTTCAACTGTTAACACTGGTACACAAGTGACAGTCAGGGTTCAACTGTTAACACTGGTACACAAGGGACAGTCAGGGTTCAACTGTTAACACTGGTACACAAGTGACAGTCAGGGTTCAACTGTTAACACTGGTACACAAGTGACAGTCAGGGTTCAACTGTTAACACTGGTACACAAGGGACAGTCAGGGTTCAACTGTTAACACTGGTACACAAGTGACAGTCAGGGTTCAACTGTTAACACTGGTACACAAGGGACAGTCAGGGTTCAACTGTTAACACTGGTACACAAGGGACAGTCAGAGTTCAACTGTTAACACTGGTACACAAGGGACAGTCAGGGTTCAACTGTTAACACTGGTACACAAGTGACAGTCAGGGTTCAACTGTTAACACTGGTACACAAGTGACAGTCAGGGTTCAACTGTTAACACTGGTACACAAGGGACAGTCAGGGTTCAACTGTTAACACTGGTACACAAGGGACAGTCAGGGTTCAACTGTTAACACTGGTACACAAGGGACAGTCAGAGTTCAACTGTTAACACTGGTACACAAGGGACAGTCAGGGTTCAAACTGTTAACACTGGTACACAAGTGACAGTCAGGGTTCAACTGTTAACACTGGTACACAAGTGACAGTCAGGGTTCAACTGTTAACACTGGTACACAAGGGACAGTCAGGGTTCAACTGTTAACACTGGTACACAAGGGACAGTCAGGGTTCAACTGTTAACACTGGTACACAAGGGACAGTCAGGGTTCAACTGTTAACACTGGTACACAAGGGACAGTCAGGGTTCAACTGTTAACACTGGTACACAAGGGACAGTCAGGGTTCAACTGTTAACACTGGTACACAAGGGACAGTCAGGGTTCAACTGTTAACACTGGTACACAAGGGACAGTCAGGGTTCAACTGTTAACACTGGTACACAAGGGACAGTCAGGGTTCAACTGTTAACACTGGTACACAAGTGGACAGTCAGGGTTCAACTGTTAACACTGGTACACAAGTGACAGTCAGGGTTCAACTGTTAACACTGGTACACAAGGGACAGTCAGGGTTCAACTGTTAACACTGGTACACAAGGGACAGTCAGGGTTCAACTGTTAACACTGGTACACAAGTGACAGTCAGGGTTCAACTGTTAACACTGGTACACAAGGGACAGTCAGGGTTCAACTGTTAACACTGGTACACAAGGGACAGTCAGGGTTCAACTGTTAATACTGGTACACAAGGGACAGTCAGGGTTCAACTGTTAACACTGGTACACAAGGGACAGTCAGAGTTCAACTGTTAACACTGGTACACAAGGGACAGTCAGGGTTCAACTGTTAACACTGGTACACAAGTGACAGTCAGGGTTCAACTGTTAACACTGGTACACAAGTGACAGTCAGGGTTCAACTGTTAACACTGGTACACAAGTGACAGTCAGGGTTCAACTGTTAACACTGGTACACAAGGGACAGTCAGGGTTCAACTGTTAACACTGGTACACAAGGGACAGTCAGGGTTCAACTGTTAACACTGGCACACAAGGGACAGTCAGAGTTCAACTTCCGAAAATGTTCAACACTGAAATATTGACTTATTTCCTAATGTTCTTTAACTTTACCGAACTCTTTCACTTACGCTATATTATTATTATTATTATTATTATTATTATTATTATTATTATTATTTATATTATTATTATTATATAAATAAGCGCCAAACCTGTATGGATCATTTTTGTATTTAAATATATGTTGCCATTACAGCCACGTATAGTTTGACTCCTGTTTCTGCATAAATCACAATGTTCACAATTTTTCTGAGCAGCTTCCGTGAATAATATATTCATAACGAATTATAAACGTTTTAATTTTTGCTCTAGATTTGTTATTGCTGTAATGAACATTGTTTAAAATTCCATGGTTAATTAAAGACTCATTTTTTTTTTCAGATAATATTCTTATAGTTTGGAAAACAAGAATGTAGTTACAAAATGTTTCATAATACATCCCTCTTAGATTGCATAAATAAAGCTTACTGAAAAAAAAGAGAAACGGGAAATTTTTGCGTAAATATATGTTCCTGAGTGTGATGTGTTGTATATCACAGCCTTGAATAGCTGTCTGCAGGGCATCCAGGGCACAGAGTTGGGTACCCGTGTAGTGTGTGTTGTAGTGTATCATAACTTTGAGTGTTGGACGAGATACTGGTGTGTTGTTGAGTGTAAAATACCTGCTGAGTGAAGTACAGCTGGTTAGTAAAAGGTAGCGTAATATTACTGATTCCGGTTGATACTGTGAGTGCCTCCGAAAACTAAATACCGGTGCAACGGTGGGACTGCAGAAGGACCGAGAGTAACCAAGGCTGTTAACATTTGGTGTAGGGTTGTCTGCTGGTTCTGTGGCTGAGAGTTAGTGAACCATTCAGTCCCACTAAAATGTTGGTGATGTGATGAACAATTATAAGATTGCTAAGACGGTATAAGTATGAAAAGCTGATAATAAATATAGGTGAGCACTATATTTTGTCACCACTTTTTATAATCAAATTATTATTTAGCTGATGGAGGTTTTGATCGTTTTCTCCTTGCTATGAATCTGATCCGAGTGAAATATAAGTATCCAAACTTGTAGGTCTTTTCATTACTGAAACAATTATTTTTTGTTGAAGCCTTCTTTGTTCCCAAGGCATCAAAACGTTTTCAAGGACAACCTTTTAAAAAAATGCGGGGGAAATTTTTTCATACGCTTTTCATACCCCGAGAATTTTTTCCAGAAGGGCTGGGGGCCCTTGGTTAATTTCACCCCAGAAAAGACAGTGAATCTTCTTTATCACCTGCCCCATTAATTTTGGTTTTGGGAAAATGAAAAAAAACTGTATGAAGTGGGTAATTTTTGAGGGAAGTCTTTGTGAGGCAAAAGGTAGTGGTATAATTTTGATGAATATTGTTGGGTTATCAAATGAAAAAAAATTATAAATGTCAAAAAAGAAGAAAACCTTCTTTTTCTTTTTTTTTGGGTTTCACATTGCCTGGTAAAGAGTTCCCTTGTTTTAAAAAAAAAAAAAGTAGGTTTTCAGTAAATTCCGGGGGAAAAGTGATCTATGAGCCCCAGATGATTGTGGTATGAGTTTAATATTTGTGCATATAAACTTTTAACTAACTGGGCTGAAAACGGGTGTATTTTGGAGGAGTAAACCCACTAACTAAAATAAAAAAGTAACTAGGGTCAATTATTTTATTTCATTGTTGGGTATACACTTGCGGTGTTGGCGTCCCAGTTTTGTTTAAGTTACTTTTTTGGGAAAACAAAAGCTGCTAAATATATGAATGTATATTATTTCGAAAGGTTGGCTGTATGCACCAATAATAACGAATGTGAAAAAGGGTTTGTGGCAATTTTAAAAAAAAGGGTTTTTAATTTGGGAGGGAAGGACAAAAAAAGCGGGGTTGGCGAAGTTGAAGCAACCCAAACGAGAAGAAAACATAGTACGCTACGTGGATGGGTTGTGGTTTTTCTCTGTCGCGGGAAAAACAACAAAACCTTCTTTCCTTTGGGGGTTTGGTTTAAATAAAAACTCCAAAAAAATCGGTGAGGGAAGGGATAAGGGAAAGGAAACTGCGGGCCTTCTTTGTATTGTGGGGGAAATTATCACAAAGAAGTTTTGGAAAACAGTTTAGTCTGTGATTTGAGGGATTTAAGCTTTCCCGGGGACTGGGTATACTAAAAAGTCTTTCGTTTGTTTTAAAATTTGATTTTTGGCTTAAAGGAAACGGACGGGGCAAATCCTGGAGGAAAAAAAGAAGCTAAAAATTTTTGGGGGAATTTCGTGGAAAATTACAAACCCGGGAGGTGGCAAAAGCTATGCTCCGGGGTTTGGGTTTACATGATCACTGGACCCCTTCAGGAAAAAGACGAAACACTAAATTCGTCCCCTTTCTTTTCTTTATTTGGCGTCTGGGGCGCCTGACAAAAAGTATTACCTAAAAAGACAATGATGATTCCTTCAGGGATTACTTTCCCCCAGAGATATTTTTTCCCTTGAGGGCTGTTTCCGTTCCGAATTTTATGTCACTTCCAAAAAGTGCCACCATTTCCCGGGGACTGGGGGCCTTTAAGAACCGAGGGGCCGTTCCAAAAATATCCCAACTTAAAAAAAATTTAATTGTCTTTTCCCCGGGCTGGTATCATTTCCAAAAATTTATGATATTTCCCAGAAGTGCTGCCACTTAAAAAAAATTTTGGGCCATTTTCCAAATGATGCCACTTCCAAAAAATTCACCCCTTTCAGAAGTGATTTTCCCTTCCGGGGACGGGGTTAACTTCCTAAATGTTTTTTTTTTCCCCGGGGCCCATGTCATTTTCCAAATTTGCTGCGGGTTTCCACTACTTGTCCCACTTCAGGGGGTGATGTCACTTCCATTTGCTGTCCCATTTCCCAGGACTTTTTCCAATTGTGGGAAAATAGATCCCATTTTCCAAAATTTACTGCGTTTTGCAGAACTGTTTGCCACTTTCAAAATTGCCGCCATTTCCCAGAACTGATGCCACTTCCAGAAGTCCCGCCACTTCCAAAATTGATGTACTTCCCAAAGGTCCCGCCATTTAAAAAATAATCCCATTTAAAAAAAGTCCCCCAAATTCCAAAAGTGCCGCCACTTCCAAAAAATGATGCCACTTCCAGAAACTTATCCCCTTTTCCCAAAAGTGACCCAATTTCCAAAAGTGCCCCCCCTTCCCCAAAACCGTTCCACTTCCAAAATGCCCCCATTCCCAAAAACGGTTTGCCATTTCCCAGAAATTATGAAAATTTCCCAAAAGGGGCCGCCACTTCAGAATGATGCCACTTCCAGAAGTGCTCCCAAATTCCAAAAGTGCCGCCATTCCCAAAAATGATGGCACTTCCAAAAGTGCCGCCCCTTCCAGAATTTGTTTTCCCAATTCCCGAAGTGCCGCCATTTCCAAAAAGAGGGGGGCATTTCCCAAAAAAAGTGCCGCCACTTCCAGGACTGATCCACTTCCAAAAGTCCCGGCCTTGCAGAACTAATGCCCATTTCCCAGAATTGATACTGTTTCCCCGAACTGCATCATTTCCCAAAAAACTAACGCTTTCCCTTTGGATTTTTCAGTATTTCCAGAAACTAGTGCACTGTGCTTCCCAGTGCGGGGTGCCATTTCCCTTTTAATGGTGCTTTTTCCTTAAATGATGCCATTTCCAAAAAAGGCCCCATTTAAAAAAGGGATTCCACTTCTAAAAACCCCCCATTAAAAAAGTGCTCCCCACTTCCGGGGACTGGTCCCTATTCCCAAAAAAGTGTTGCATTTCCCGGGGACTGGGGGCCTTCTTCCAAAAGTGCTGCCATTTCCGGGGATGGTGTTTTTTTCCCAAAAAGTGCTGCCACTTCCTGGATGGTGAAACTTCCAAAAGTGCTCCCCACCCCGGGAAACTGGTGTTTCTTCCAAAAGGGCTGCCACTTTGGACTGGTGTATTTCCCAAAAAGTGCGGCCACCTAAAGGGGATTTGGTGTAACTTTCATTAAAGTGCTGCCACTTCGGGAAATGGTGCAAATTTCCAAAAAGGGGTTTGCCATTTCCTTTTGGACGGGTTTGCTATTCCCAAAAGGGGCTCCCATTTCCCTGGACTGGTGCTACTTCCAAAAGTGCTGCCATTTCCCGGGAACTGGTGCTATTCCCCTTAAAAAGTGCGGCCATTTCCCTGAACGGGGTGCTTTTTAAAAAAAGGTTTTCCCACTTTCAAAGTGTTTCCACTTCCTAAAAACCCCCCCACTTCCAAAAGTGCTGCCATTTCCCTGGACTGGTGTATTTCCCCAAAAGTGCTCCCCATTTCCCGGGACTGGGGCTATTCCCAAAATTGCTGCCACTTCTGGACGGGTGCTATTTCCCAAAAAGTGCTCCCCACTTCCTTGGACTGGTTACTTCCAAAAGTGCTGCCATTTCCGGGGAGGGTTTGGTATTTCCAAAGTGCTGCCAATTCTGGACGGGTGTTATTCCCCCAAAAGTGCTGCCCCCTTCCCCTGAACGGGTGCTCTTCCAAAAGTGGCTGCCATTTCCGGGAAATGGTGCTATTCCCAAAAAAGTGCGCCATTTCCCGGGGGACGGGTTTGCAAATTTCCCAAAAAGGGGGCCCCACTTCCTGGACGGGTGCTATTTCCCAAAAAGTGCTGCCCCCCTTCCCTTTGGATGGTGCTATTTCCCAAAAGTGTTTCCCAATTCCTGGACTGGGGCAAATTTTCCCAAAAAATTTGCTGCCATTCCTGGACGGGTTTCTATTTCCCAAAAAGTGCTCCCATTTCCCTGGATGGTGCCCTTCAAAAATGTTCCCAAATTTCGGGATGGGGGCCTATTTCCCCAAAAGTGCTCCCAATTTCCCTTTGGATGGTGTTTACTTAAAAAGTGCTCCCAACTTCCCCGGGACTGGGGGTATTTCCAAAAGTGTCCCATTTCCCGGGAAAGGGTGTTTCTTAAAAAGTGCTGCACTTCCGGGATGGTGCTACTTCCAAAAGTGCTCCCATTCCCGGGGGATGGTGCAAATTCCCCAAAAGGTTTCCCCATTTCCCGGGACGGGTTGTACTTCCAAAGTGCTGCCATTTCCCGGGGATGGTGTCTTCCAAAAGTGCTCCCACTTCCGGGACTGGTGCTATTTTAAAAAAATAGTTGCCATTACAAAAATGGCGCTATTTTTTCTTTTACTGATGTTACTTCAGAATGATACTACCCCCGGGGGACAAAATCCCCTTCCTAAACCCAATGCTACCCCAAAACTTACCCCATTTCCAGGCCCGGGTGCCATTTCCCAAAAAAGTGCTGCCCTTCCAGAATTTCCCGTGCTTCCAAAAATTTAAAGCCATTTCCCCCAAAACCTGCCCCCCTACCAAAACCCGTCCCATTTCCCAGGCGAGTGCCACTTACAGTTTGATGCCACTTCCAAAACTGTCCCATTTCCCTGGAAATTGCCACAAAAAACGGGCTGCAACTTATAGCTATTGCCATTTCCCAAAGGGGTACTGCCATTACAGAACTAAGGATTCCTCCCTCCTGGAGGGTTCCCTTTTTCCCAAAATTTTTAACCAAAGTGCTGCATTTCCCAAAGGTTTTGTGCTTTTTCCCAGATGGTGACCTTCCAGAATTTGATTTAACCCCAAAAGCTGCCCCAATTCGAAGAATTATCGGGGTTCCGCACCGTTTCCCAGAAGTGGGGGGCCCTTTTCCCTGGGGCCTTCCTTTAAGCCCCGGGAAGGCTCCTCCAGTAGAGCTTCATGACCCACCTGGGTTGGATAAAGGGCGTCAGGGGGGCAGAGTTTTTTGCAAAAAGGGGTTTGCCCGTAGGTGGGGACAAGGTGGCGGTTTGGGCCGTTTAGTTCAAGATGTCGAGGGGGGGAGGGGCCCCTAGAAAGGCAAAACATTGATGCTCCCTCACACAGGGGCAGCCGGTCTCTGCGTCCTCATTTTTTCGAGGGGCAAGCGTTCTTTTTAGTTGGCTCTGTTGAAAA